TCCCGGCTCGGGCGGAGGTCCCTGCGGCTGCTGTTTTGCAGGCCCCTCGTTCCTCCAGCCGGGTGAAATACGTGCAGGAGGTGGGAGCTGTTTGTTTTAATGCTGCTGGAGCCGCGCTTCGCTCGTTCTGGGGCTCTCCGGCTGTTGTGCTCGTGCTTTGAGGGAAAATGCAGCCGGCGGCGGCTCGGCGATTTAACGGAACCGGGCAGATTCTAGGCCTGAGGGCCGGTAGTAACACAGCGCAGGACCAGCTTGTCCTTTTTTTGGAGATAAACTAATTTTGTTTGCATATCTTTATTTTTTGTTTGTTTTGCTTTGTTTCCATGAGAAAAGTTCAATAATAATGGAATTAAAAGTGGGAAACAAAGACCAAATGCGTTTAAATGTGCCACGTCATGGTTGTTCTTTCTGCTCACTCGCATGTGGGCAGCTGAGAGACAAACAAAAGGATATTTGACAGAATAGTAAGCTTGCTATTACAATTTCACCCTCAATTGCCTGCCAGCCAGGCAACAAGGCATCGTGAAAGCACAGAATAAACTTTGAAACAATGTTTGAATATTTTAGGGCTGTTGTTTTAGTTTCCGTGGCTTGCTTCTGCATCTGACAGTGCTATCATTTGTCTGCACAGTGACTGCTCAGAGTGGCCTCGGAAAGGCAGCCTGTTGTTTCCGTCATTCTTCAGCAGGTGGATAATTCCTCATGGTTTCACAGAAGATTTGATATCTAGGAATTCAGGCACTGAGTGCATAAGTCTATTCAGATGGCTTTGGTGGGTTGCCTCATGCATATTTTTGCAGTGTAAGATTCCCATCTGGCTTCAGAGGCAGTCAGCTCCTGTACTTACACTGGAAAAGGGCAGAACTGTCATTGGAAGCTATCACCTGGAAGCTGATTTGCTATTTCACACGGCCTGCTTGGGGATACATTGGGATAACTTGAAAAGAGTACTGGATGTCCCAGGATAGGGTATGCAGCTTCGTGGAAGGACTGTGGAAAGCTTTTGTTGTGTGTTTTAATGTGGGAATCCAGGTGTCAGCATCCAAGAAGGAGAAATGTGAAGGTTAGAGTTGTACTGTGCAGCTGAGCGTAGCGTAAGTGGTACCTTACCACCATGGAAAGGGACATTTCTCATTCTACTTCACTGGTTCCTCTCCCAATTGCACTTTCTGCCCTTGCACTCTGGTTTTTGCTTTTCTGCTTTATTCATTGCAGACTTTGGGCTGCTGTTTTTGAAAGTAGCTCCCAAAATCACAGGTTTTGGGAGGCAGGGGATTCTTAATTTTCTAGTAGTTTGGCAAATTGTATTGAATTGGTGCAGATCAAGTGAGTTCCTGTCCAGTGCAGGTGGAAGAAAGTAGCACATATTCTTCTCAGATCCTGTTTTTTTTTTTGTTTGTTTGTTCGTTTGATTTTCTGAGTGCATTTTTTCTGACTTTGAGCTGTGGGGATGATGAATTAACAAACGAAGATTACTACCAAAGTGTCAAGAGTGTTGCCCATTTTGTCTGTAAGGATTTTATAGCATTGGAATGTACAGCTGCTCTCAGCTTAGGGAATAACATTTTAGAACTTTAAAAATCTGGTTTTAAGAGATCTTTTTTCTTTAAACATTAATTGCAGCCCTTTCTTAAGACTTTGTGTTTTCTTAACTTGAGGCATACAAAAACTGTAAACGTTCTTGCTTTTCAGCTTTGTCACAGAAGGAGAGGAAGCCATGGTGTGCATCCCTTGTATTGTCATTCCGGTTCTTCTCTGGGTCTACAAGAAATTCCTTGAGCCCTACATCTATCCTGTTATTGCTCCTTTCATTAAGCGTGTGTGGTCCAAGAGAGCTGTGCAAGAAACAGCCACCAAGCAAGGCCAAGGAGGCAGTGCTGGAAATCCACCTTCAGCCTCACAGAGAGATAAGGGGGATGAATCTGGAGCTTACAAGGTAAGATGATGTGCTTAGCTAATGATGGAATCTCTAGGTAGGGCAGTTGTGGGCACCACAGAAGCTGCGTGTTTTCAGAGAAGCTTTTTTGAATATTTACTTTTGAAAGGGAGCTGTCAGTACTGAGCTGGTCAGAAATAGCAGTTTCTTCCAGACAGCTTCTGGGAGGTTTTGGGAGGACAGGAATTGCCCCTGTGTTCTGAAAGAGCTTGAAGACGGGATTCAGGCTGTTCTTTTGGAAAAGCAGGAAGGGAAGTGATTAATCAGTTGTACCTGATGCATGAAACAGACTATAAAAAGTAACTATTCTGCTAGCTCTGCCACTCATAATGGGGTAAAATGTTGAAACTCTGCGTTTATGTATCTCTTATAGCAAAAAACAGAGCTTTTGAGAGCTTTGCCCTCATCCTCCACCCTAAACAGTCATGTGTAAATCTAAAGAAATTCCATCATGGCAGATTCTGCATGAGTCTTCACTGGTTGTGCTTACAAGAGTAGTTTTCATCACCAAATATTACTGTCCTGGGTATAAAGATGGTTTTATACATCTCATTTTAAAGGTGTTGTCTTTTATTTGCAGTTTGAAAGCAATGGGGTTGCAAACGGAATTGCTGCAAAGGGATCAACAGAAGTGTCTGACAAGAAAGCAGATTAGAGGAATTCATTCCTACGGATTTCATTCCCCTTGTGTCCAACATGAACTGGTGATTGCTATTTCTCACACTGAGACTTTGTTCTTTGCACATTACAGCTGAATAAAACCCCTTACCACTTACAGGAGAGGATCTCTTTTGCCACTACAATGGCAGCTAGCAGATTTCTTATATGAAATGTTTGAAAGCTGTATTAAGTTATTCTTTGTTTTCCTCGCCAGAGCCACTTTGCATCTATAATCTATAATCTATTTGACATGATTGGAGATTAGATTAAATAGTTTGTGGATAAGTCTAGCTAAATGTGTTGCTGCTTAGTTTTGCTCGCTGTGAGTGCAGTACTTCAGGCTTCGACTTGAAAACTGTAACCTTGGCATAGTTAAAGAACTACTGATTTCATTGTGGCAATATAAATATTATGGTCAAAATTATGAAGAGCAGAGCCTGCCTTGTGAGATTTGTGGATGAGCTAAAGGAGTAATGCTGTGTGCAAAATTTACTTAGCTTACTAGAAATAGGAGGACTTGATTTGATATTTTCAGTCATCTTTTCTTTAACTTTCTACCTTTCTTTCCTGAGAAGGATCGACAAAGACATGATGCAAGGGAATTGCTGCTTTATATTCTGTTGCAGTGGTTTCAACTGATACATGTCTTATCTTTCAGAAAAAAAAAGATAAAAATCTCTTTCAGCGTGCTTGTGTAATTTGAATTGTAATAAAGCAGGACTTTATTTAACAATTAGTTGCTTCATACAGTTGTTTTTAGTCTTCTTTAAAATAAACATCTAGAGCAGCAATGAAATTTTTGAAAACCTGTGGACAGTCAGCAGACTGAGGGTGGCCATAGAACTACTGACTGCAGGATAAAGAGAGTGTTCTCAGCATGTCCAGCTCTGCCTCCTCCTGGGAAGACGTGTTCTGGTTCTGAAATGCATCCCAAAATGATGCCTTTGTGCTTAATAGGTATAGAAGCTGCAGTTTCTGCTTTGTGCTCACTGCCAAACCAGAAGACTATCTAAAAGACTAAAACAGAACGAAACGAAACAAAAAACTCCAAACTAGCCATTCCAGCAAGTGGGATTGCTGCTTATCATTTTCTCAGAAGTCTTACAGTTGTACATTTTTATAGAGAGATGTTTTGTAGATGGTACTTGAGTGTGTTATGATAGCAAGAAAAGCTGATTAATGCGTTTGTTCCTTCAAGAATTATTGCACGTGGAAGGGCAGTGCACTGTAGTGCTGAGGGGCATCCTGCTCCCCTTGAACTGTCACTGAGCTCCTGGCTCATTCTTGGGCTGTGATTTCTTCTGCCAGAGAAGTTTTCACTCCATGCTGTCGGCTGCAGCAGTGTGTTGCTTCCTACCGCTGCTCAGATTTTGGCAGGGCATGTGTGAATCAGCCTGCAGTGCTCAAGCTGGATACTGGACCAGTGTTGTTCTGTTATCTTCGTAATAAGTTCAAGCATAGAGAATTCCTCTTAAACATAGAATTTAAAATGTAAGACATAATGCTGCTTAATCTCCCTTAACGAGCCAGTCTATTAGAAGGTGAATTTTATATTACTTAATAAGCCTTCACACTACCCTTGGAGGGTAAGCCCTTATATCGTTCACAGGCACATCTTTCTCCCTGCAATACCTTTTGTGATAGAAAACCTGGTTTTGTTATTCTATGGCACAATTCATGCAATAAAAGATAATGCATTCCTGTAACCTCTCATAGGCGTGCTGTGTAATGCATTCACTTCTAGCAGCTGTGAGCACAAGAAAAAGTGCCAGAGCTGTGCTTGGACTCCTCGCATTTTGCAGGAAGGAGCTCGTTTGTTCGTGCAGTTTTGTTTTGTTTTGTTCTTCCTACTGCAATGATACTTTGAGATGAAACATGAAACAGAGTGGGGCTTCTAGCCCCGTTTCTAGGTGTGTAAGCATCTACTGAAAGGGCCAACCAAAAAAAACTGCAGAAAGCAAAATAGGCACTGAAAGCCCTGGCAGAGACTTGTTTTGCGAATCTGTTTCTATTCTTTTTCAAGATTGGGTTCATGATCCTGTTGCATTGTGATTAAACAACAAGAAGAGCAAAAAACGACTTAAAAAAAGCAGGTGGAAGGAAGAAGCTGCCTGAACGTGGGCAGGGGTGCAGGAGGTCTTGTGCTGCAGTGCAAAGAACTGCACAGAGCTGCGTTTAAGAACAAAAAACAGGGTTTTTTATAGGTGTCGAATACCACAGGTATCAAATAGGCATCAAAAACTAAGCAGCCCTCTTGCGGTTGGTGCGATATACATAAAATCAGATTTAGTTAGTAGCAGGAGGACTACACTTCCCGGCGTGCATCGCGATCCTCCCGCCCGGCGGACTGCATTTCCCGGCGTGCCGCGCGGCCGCCACCCTCGCGCATGCGCAGCGCCGCAGCGCCGGCGACGTGGAAAGGCCGCAGGCGGGGGGCAAGCGGCGCGTGTGCGCCTGCGTGAGGAGGGGGGCGGCGGGTGGCGCCCCCGCGGCGCGCGCTGAGTGCGTGTCCGTTGCAGCCATTGGAGCGGCGGGTCCTCGCACGGTAAGCGCGGCCTCAGCGCTCCCGGGCCCTAACGGGAGGCGGAGCCCGGCGCTCGGCTGAGGCTCCCTCGGCGTCAAAGCCTCCGGGGCACGCTGTTGGCGGAGCGTCAGGCCGCGCGGCTGTGCCCGCACCAGGGAATGGGCGGGTTTGGATATCGGGGAGAAATTTCTTCTCCGAAGAGCGGTGGAACGCGGAGGTGGCGAAGTCACCGTCCGAGGTGGTGCTGAAAAACCACGGGGATGTGGCTGCGGGGGGCGTGGTGGAGGGGTTTGGAGATCTTTTCCAACCTTCACGGTGCTGTGGGTCCCGTGAGGAAGCTGAGGGTTCTCCTTCCTGCGTTCAGAGATGCGAGAGCAGTTCACCCTATGCAGTGTTTTCTCCACTTCCTGGTTATTTCCCACGTATTGGTCTCTTCTGGAGGGTGATATCCAGAAAGAGTGGTAAATATTCTAAGGTTGTGAAGCATACTTTCTCTGATACTGGTTCTTGTCTTCGACTTTTATTGCGTGTGCTGAGGGGTAAGGTGCTGTGCTGCAGGTATGACACCTTCCCTGTGAGGACAAATGGAGAGAACTTCCCTGTGAGGACAGGTCTGTGTTCAGCCTGGAGGAGACTCTGCAGAGACCTGAGATAGGCCTATCAGTATTGAAAGGGGAAGGAAAGAAGAAGAACGGGAAAGAAGGGCGCAGACTATTCATCAGGGTCTGTGGTGATAGGACGAGGGGAAATGGTTTCAAACTGAAAGAAGGGGAATTTAGATGGGATAGAAAGAAGAAATTCTTTACCCAGAGGCCCTGGCACAGGCTGCACAGAAAGGTTGGTGTTGCCCCATCCCTGCAGACAGCTGAGGTCAGGCCGGGTGGGCTCAGCACTGCTGGAGCTGTGGGTGTCCCTGTGCACTGCAGGGAGTGCGACCTGATGGCCTTTAGGGGTCCCTTCCTACTCAAACCGTTCTGTGATCTATAGAAATACAGGACTACTCTCCCTTGTGTTGGGCAGTTCTTGAATGCTGAGAGGTGCAAACAGTCTCCTGGGCCATTCAGTCTAATGTTGAAAGCCACTGTGTAGTGTAATTCCTAATTTTACTAACTTCTGTGTAAAAAAGCAGTGAAATTGCTCCTTTGATTTTAAATTAAAAATTGTCATTGCTGCTTGCATTGCAAAGAGCTGAGGAAGGTGTTACTTTGAGCTCTCCGTGGGCTGGAATCCACACAGCACACAGCTGGAGCGGCTGTCAGCTCCTTGCTGCTCTTCCCAGCACTTGGCAGTCTGAGTTAAATTCACTAGGAAAGTATGTAACGTAAGTGAATATGGAAGGTAGGTGGCTTTGATGCTTCCAGTGATGTTTTATCAGATGAAAAGGAAGATCCAGGCTGTTCGTAGTGTGCCAATGACTGACAGTTGGGCTTGCAGGGTTATGAAGTCACATGTCTTTTTGCGCAAAGGATGTATTAAAAGCAAGAAGTGCTGTTTGGTGGCTGAAGAACCATCGTCAGTGAGGATGGGTGTTTCTTCCAGGTGTGTTCTCTGCAGTGGGAAGCCTACTGTACCTGATAGTAATTGCACTTCTTGCCAAGTGGCTTCATTTGCACTCACCCTATATGAAACATGAAAGGTAGATGAACTGGGAGAGACATCATGGCAGCCTAAGGCTGTTTAACTGTGCTTCAGAAAGCTGTAGCCTGCTGTTTTCTCTTGTAATAAAGCTTATTTCTGGCTGCTGGAGATCCTGTCAACGCTTATTTACCTTTACAGGGTGGAGGAAAGCCCTGACGTTTCATCACCTCCTTAACAAAAGGTGTTTGTCAGGCCCGTGTCCTGTCAGCAGAGCTCCTTCTAAGTTCCTGCCTGCTGTTTGCCTCCTGTGACACACGGTGACTGAGGAGAGCAGGGGCAAATAATATTAATGTGAATTAGTGAGTGCTAATACAAGGGCTAGTGCTTGGAAATAGGGTAGTTTTGACTTTGGGTCTTGAAAGAAGGAGTGGAAAGGCATGCTGCCTTAGAATGTGCATCCTGTGTCCAAACATGTATTTGCTTCTTGCTGCCCAGTGCCATAATGTAACTTTGTGAGCGTTTCTTTATATCCTGTGTTTTCTTCTGTCTTTTTCCCCCCGAATACTGATTACTAATGGATACTTATGTCACTCAGCGTCATTTTTTGTTCAAGAGCTACAGGTCCTGCTGGCTGGTGCTTCTGTGTTATAAATACAGGGCTGTAGGTTCTTGAGATGGCACTGAGAAATGACATAAGCCGTGCATCTCCGTGTCACTTACAGAAGGTACGTTTTCCTTCTTCTTCTTTTTTTTTTTTTCTCCTTTTCAGTTCTTTCCCAGAATGTTGTGTTAAAAGAAACATTCAGTTTCTTTTAATATTCTGAAATATTTCTGAAATATTCTACCTAAGCAAGGTTTCCTGGGATTTCTTGTCTGGCTGTGAGCAGAAGGGCTGTCCTGGAGGTGGGATGGGAAGGAGCAGCAGCTTATGCTCCTTGGAATATGGAGATTGACTCCCACACAGAACACACGTGGAAGATGAACTGGAGCAGAAGTGTTGTCCTCAGTTTTCACCTGCTCACTTGTAAGGGTGTATCTTGCTGGCAGCAAATCTGCCAGGATGCATTGCTTCTGCTGCTGTGCAGGACCTGTGCAGCTTCAGTGCGACCTGTAGGGACCACATCACATCACAGCAGTGCTGCCTGCTTCAGGCTGATGCTGCAGAACAGCATGGACACTAGGACAGGTTGCAGAACAGGAGGAACAAAAGGGATGGTTTGTTTGTCTGCAGGAGAAAACAGCAGACAGCTCAGATGAGTAATCTTAAATTCTTTGAGATCAGAATTGAGGATGTTTTGGAGTCTGAAAAGGAGTGGGTGGAGAAGAAATGGAGAGTGACTGGTATCTGGGCAGCTCTGCCTGGAATTAGGAAAAGGAACACTCCCACGTAGGTGTAGGAAAGCTGTGGAGGCAACCACGAGTCAGTACTGTGGGAAAGAACATGAGCAGAAGCAGTTCCTTGGGGAACTCAGGTAGGGGAAGCACTGATAGCAGTGGTCTGATGGCGTTTTTCATTGGCAGACATTGAGGTATGGCTGATGCATCTCTGCTCTTTTTTTTTTTTTTTTTTTTTTTGCTTTTAAATTATTTTTTAACATGCTTTGAAATAAGAACATTTTTTCATGCTTCTTCTGATTAAAAATAGAAAAATATCTTAAATTCTAAGAGTTGTAAAGATTTTTTTTTTTTTTTTTTTTGCAGCTGCCCTTAGGGGCATAAGTTCTCACTGCAGAGTGTTTGAGCATCAGTAATCTCATTTAGCAGGGATTCTTCCCCCGAACAGTTCCCTGAGCTGTGCAGTATGATGAGTGCATAACACATCAGGCAGGGGCAGAAACATCTGTGTGAAGGGAGCTTTGTCACTTTGCTGTCTCTTGCTTTCAGATAATGAATACTTTGGAGAACTAAGCAGTAAATTGAATTGTCAGATTACTTTCTGCTTGCTGGGTTTTCCTTTCCCTGGAAGTGAGCAGAAAACAGTAGGTTGTACTGTTAAGAGAAACTTCAGTTTATGTTTTGGAATTCACATTTTCTGGTTCTGCAGCATCGGCATCAATTTGAGATCTGTCAGTCCTTTGTCAGTGCATTTGAAGCTTTGGATATGTGTTAACAAACAAGATTCCCCCTGGCAGCAGCTGCCTGGCACATTGTGACATGGGGACCCTTGTAGTACATCTGGCAGCAGGCAGTGGAAGAAGCAGGTGACATCATTTCTTAGTCAGATCTTTTTGCTTGGAACATTTCTCATCCCAAAGTTCCGCGTGGTTGTGTACTGATGAACAGAAATAACATTTCTGACTCCACGAAGGCTTTGCAGTCCTTGATGTGTGCTGCAGTTCGGAATGGGCTCAGTGAGGAGGAGTGCAGGTGGGTGAGGATGCGAGCAGTGTGTGTGTGCGCCTGCCCAGCTCAGCTGGGACTGGTGTGACCTCCTGCCTTTGATGGTCTCCCTTGCAGTGTGCCTGGAGGAGCAGAAGTGTATTGCTGAGAGCAGAAAGCTGGGATTCTTGAAGGCAACCAAAAAAGTGGGGCTTCAAGCTTACTGGAACTTTCTACTTCTTCTAGAGTTGGATGAAACACATCTAACAAACATTCCCGGGCACAAACTCGAGGGCTGTGCTTCTGCTTCAGGCTTTCAGTGTCCATTGCTATCAGCTGTCAGGCTGCTCACTGAGAAGTGGGATTGTCCTGGAGATTAGGAAATCCCCAGTGAGGATGAGTCTGCAGATTTTGAAGGTTGAACCTGATGCCTTCCTTCAGTTGGAGATCATCTCTGAGGTGTAACTGATGTCTGTTCAGACTTTGTTACTTGCGGGTGCCATCTCTGCTCTTCAGTTTTGCAGATGAGTGTTGTGTATGATACTCAGTCCACAAAGTATTGGACTGCAAATACTGCTGGAATATGAATGACTATCAGAGAATTAAATGTACTGTGTAGGTAGCAGGCTTCAAATTTTGGAGCTAAATGATACCTTCTGGTAATGTCTTCTGCTTCTAGGACGTTTTATTCTAGGATTATATGAGACATTTGAATGTCTCATTTGGATGTGTGTATGTTGATATTTGTGTCTCTATGTGTGTATAGGTGTATTTTCAGGCTGCCTGCAGGTTCAGCCTGACAAGCATGTGAGGGTTAGTTGTGGAAAGGGGAACTGCTTTGCTCAAAGCTGGCTTTGCTAGGTGGATTAGTGGGATGCCCTCACTGGGAGACCAGTAGGAGTCTTAGTGGAACTGTAACTACTGCAGTAACATTATTTAAACAGAAGGCTTAGAGGGTGTGACAAGCCTGCTGGGAGTTCTACAGTACAGGTTACCCGGAGTTAAGCTTGCAAGCTGTTGTCGTGTTTGTGTATGTGAAAGGAGAGGCTGGGAACACTGCAGAACTCTGGCTGAAGGTTGGCCAAAGCGGTTTAATAAAACAGCAGAAGCTGTGGAGCACATGAGTCATAGAATCATAGAATCACCGAGGTTGGAAAAGACCTAAAAGATCATCCAGTCCAACCGTTCACCTATTACCAACAGCTCCCACTAAACCATGTCCCTCAACACAACATCCAGCCTTTCCTTGAACACCCCCAGGGTCGGTGACTCCACCACCTCCCTGGGCATCCATTGCAGTGCCTGACCACCCTTTCTGAAAAGTAATACTTCCTCATGTCCAGCCTGAATCTCCCCTGCCGTAGCTTCAAACCATTCCCTCTGGTCCTATCACTAATGATAGGACATTAACAGCCTAAGAAGCCTGAGGTTATTGGATGGCTGTCCTGCAAGTCCATTTCACCTCCAATTCTAGCATGTGTACTGCTCTTACCAGGAAGATTTGGTATGCAGAGTCATGACCAGATGCTGTACGTACTGCTGAATTGCTTTTAAACTGAAGAGGAAAAATGAGATTCTTGTAAACATGGTTAATAATTAATATCAAAGTCTTTTAGAAGGGACAGTGAATTTAAGATCTGTGCTTCCCCTCATCTATCTGAGGCTGAAATAGGTCCTGATGTGCAAGGCACTTCCTTGTGCTTGGTCTGAAGCAACTGCTCCTGCATGTTGGGGCTGCGTTCTGTGGCCAAACAGATGTTGCATGTAATAGAGCACAGCCTTACAGTGTGAGTTATGAGTCTTTGGGGATGTTCACAGCTTCATGAGGAGAAAAGAGTCTTGGTATGGTGATACTATTGCATTAAACTAAAAGACTTGCTAATAAATATCTAAGGTTTTTTTTTTTAAGCTAATGATTAGAGTGCTCTGCCTTAAAAAGCAATTAGATTTTTTTTTTAATGACCCATGAATTTGTTTAGAGTATTCGGAGGGGAAGAATGTAGATTTGCTAAGCAACCTATTGGTGTGTTTGGGACTGACTTCTCTAAGGTGAAAGGGCTGTCGTGTGTGTGTTCCTTTTGGCTTTCCTACTGTGATGTGATAGGAGTCTGCTTAGCCTTGTATCTTGGAACTGAGGTCCTGCAGAGCAGCCTTTCTGTACAAAAGTGCCTGTTAACAAAATCAAGTTTGGGGAAAATCTGTGGTAAAAGAGGATGAGATAAATTCTAAAAATCCTCTTTTCCAGTGTCCAGCCTTGCTTCTGTTTGGAAGAGGTCAGCTGGGCTCTGGGGACGAGGGAGAGCTCACAAGGTACAGTAGGCAGCAAATCACCGTTATTTGAGTGGTTATGCCAGAGCCAAGAGCTTCCTTAGAATCGTAGCACAGCATGGGGTGGATGGGATCTTAAAGATGGCCTGGTTCTAGCACCTGCCTATGGGCTGGTTGCCAACCATCAGCTCAGGCTGCCCAGGGCCCCATGCAGTCTGGACTTGAAGCCTCCAGAGGTGGGGCGTCCACAACCTCTCTGGGCAGCCTGTGCCAGCACTCAGCACCCTCTGAGTAAAAAATGTCAACCTAACATCTCACCCAAATGTCCTTTAAAGCTGTTCCCCCTTATATTGTCACTATCAGGCCACCTAAAAGTCAATCCCCCTCCTGTTTATACGTTCCCTTCAATACTGGAAGGCTACAGTGAGCTCTTCCTGGAGACTTCTCCAGGCTGAACAAACCCAAATCCCTCAACCGTTCTTCATAGGGGAGCTGCTCCAGCCCTCTGATCATCTATCTTAGTTGATCCCAGGTTGTTGGTTTCTGTAGGAGCTGGATGTTTGTGGTCCAGGGGCAGCAGGGCTAAGATGTCCATGTACAACTCGAACCCCAGTTCCTGAGCCTCAGTTCTTCTACATACAAATGATGATCCAGCATCATATATTATTCACATTTGTTTCTTTGCCATTTGATCCTCCAGCTTTAGTATTCACTGACTTGATCTCAGAATTAATGCGTGCTGGGACTTGTGTGGGTTTTTTTTCTTTTTAAGTGGCGAAGTTTGTATTCAGGTAAGATGCATTCATCCTGTTCTGAGTAAGCTCTCAGCCTAAGTTTGGAAACCTTCGTTAACTAATTACATCTTACAGTCCTTCAGTGCTTCTCTGCAGATTTCACTTCATATTTCACTTTCTGCGCTTGGTCACAGTGACAAAATTGCTTCTGCAGAGGATGCAGATAGGTCTCATTTACAAAAAGCTTTATAGACTCTTAAGAGGTTCACGGGTTGTTGGTGTAGTTTGTTTTTTCCTAAACATTTTTCCTTATCTTTGTAGGATTTCACCTGCTAAAGAACACATCTTTATTTCCTAACAGCCTCCCATATTCTGCTGTTTGACTATGCTAGTGTTCTGTTTCTGACATTTCTGAATACTGTGGATTTGCACTAAGTCTCAAATACAGGATGCTGGGATTGCAGCTGTGTTGGAGGCTAACATTGCAGATTGTGGCTGCGTCGATCATCGTTCTGAGTTTTCCTCATTTTTATGCCACAAGGACGGTCTTTTCTGGAAGCAGAGGCCTCTGTGAAGATGAGGCAAACAAGTTGAAGTGATACTTCAAACAGGTCCTGTACCTTTGTTGAAACAAATCAAGAGTTTCTTCTAGGAGGTAGCTTGCATCTTCTAATAGAACTGCTCCCGTTTTTACTTCTTAAGCGAGCTCAGGCATGAGTGTTTTATTTACCCTGTAATGCAGTGCTTTACCTCATGGTGGGGATGGTGAGAAAACTTCCGCTTTTTTATTAGTCACAGTTATGTATTCTCAAAATGTAGATGATTATTAAAGCTGATATCCTGGAAGGATGGGCTGGCACGTGAGGTTGTATATTCCTCATTTGTACCAAGGACTTTAAATGTTTCTTTTCTTTTTTTCCTTACAGAAATGAAAGTTTAGAACGTGATTTGCCAGATAACAAAGATGGGAGCAAATAGCAGCAGCATCAGTGAGCTTCCAGACAATGAGTACTTGAAGAAGTTATCAGGAGCAGAGCCCATCTCTGAGAATGACCCCTTCTGGAATCAGCTGCTGTCCTTCAGCTTCACCGCTCCCACAAACAGGTACAGTGATGGAGTTTGTTGGGTAACTAAACCTTGGCAACATAGCCATAAAAGTGACAAGTCTAAAAGCAAACGAGTTGTTCTGCATTATTCCTGTTTGAGACAGCAGGGGAGTAAATGCCTGCCTGTAAACTGGACTTCTGTTTCTGATTCTGAAATCTCTTACCACTGTGTTGTCTTTTTGGGTTCCTTTCTTCCTTGTAGTTGCAATTGCTATTAATGCCCTCTGGCTGCTAGAAAAAAATCAACGATAGAGTTTGTAAGAGGATGTGAATGTGTGTATGTGTTTGATTTTTTTGGAATTTTGTTTGTTTTGAAGTGGCTTTTCTTGAATTAGCCACTTTTTCTGCAGTTGTTGAAGATTCTAATGCCAGTTTTATTTCCATTCTTCAACTTTGATTTGTTCACACAGAGCTCCTGTCAAAATAAGTGTTAATGAGATATTTTTTGGAAGGAGAAAAACTGACACAAGGTAACGAACACCATGAGCTCGTGAGAATTTAATACAAATTAGTGGTTGAATAAAGTTTCTGGTGAGGTTTGGCTCACACGTGGTGACATACTTCTGTGCAGTGTCTTGAATGCTGCTCACAATGGCTTTTGAAAGACAAAGAGCCACATTTATTTTCATATCGTCTAATAGCCTCCCATATTCTGCTGTTTGACTATGACTTTGACATTTCAAAGCTGGCAGATAATCTACCTGGCTTGTATTACTGTGCCCGTAAGCTGAAGTTCAGACACTTTGGAGGGAAAATGGTTAAGGTGAAAACCTCTGTTTCTGTAGTGGTTGAGGAAGAGGAAGAATTTTGGCTTCTGCATGGAGAGAATAGCCAACAATTAACAGGAGAAGAGTGAAGGATTGTAGAGCTTGAAAAGGGCAGAACCCATTTGGCAGTAGATGAGAGAGCAGCGCTTTTTTACTGTGTTCTCTGAGAAAGCAAGAATTCTGGTTGCAAGTGGACTGTAAACACAATGGGAAATATTGTGAGTTATGTCCTACTGTGCTTGGTTTTTTAGTTATATATGTGTATATCAAACAGCAGCAATTTATTTTGATTGTTCCACTGCCCCTTTGTCTTACAAAGTAAAGAACTGTCTCACAGCTCAACTTGGAGCTTTTGATGTGCCTATTTCATGCTTTCAGATCCAGTGCAGAGTCGGCTTGTTTAGAAATAAAATAAAAAAAGACATATTAAAAAAAAAAAAGCCAAACAAACCCAAAAACTTTATCCAAAAGCAGGTTGGAGGCTTGATTAGCTGAACACCAGATGGTGCTCTTGCCTGGGAGCCAGGAAGGATCTATTTTTAGAGGCCTCCTTCGTGCAGTGTAATTGAAAGGAAGCTGATATTTCCCATTAAGTTGCATCTACCTGAGAGGACGGTTTGACAAATGATGTCAAATGATGTTGGCTGCACAGCATCCTCAGCCGTTGTCTAAATCAGATAACCTTGCCTGCAGGAGCAGAACAATAGAGGTCAGTGTTCATTTTAGAGATGGAAAGCTTGTGGAGTATCAAGTTTGTTTTAATGAGGCTTGAGTGGAGGTCATACGTTTGACAGCAGCGAGGTGCTGGGTTTTGGCAGTTATGGGAAGGAACCAGTTTTCCCTTGCCGAGACAGAATTTAAAGTTTTTTTTTCCTCTTTGTGAATAATACTTTTTACACTAGGCTGTTGTAAGGTGTGTTTTTATAGTAGGTGACGGTTTGCAAGTGCTGTTGTGAGCCACACAAGTGCTGTGTTGTCTTCGTGGAGGTAGAGCAAAAGACCTTATTTCCTCATCTTTTTGCAGAGATGAGACTGACACAATCCCCAGGTAGAACAGGATCGTGTTCTCTGGATGCTTCTTTGGAAGTTGGTTTGTTCTGTGTATGGCTGTAGGGAAAGAGGAAGAGGAAAAATAAAAGCAGAGAAGGCAGTAGGGAAATGAATCCTCTTATTGGACCTAATACTTCCTGGGTTTGTTGTAGCGCTGCATGATTTTAGCATTTGTTAGTTAGTAAACATGAAAAGCTCCAAATCGAGCTGTGAATCAGTTCTTTACTTTGTAAGACAAAGGGGCAGTGGAACAATCAAAATAAATTGCTGCTGTTTGATATACACATATATAACTAAAAAACCAAGCACAGTAGGACATAACTCACAATATTTCCCATTGTGTTTACAGTCCACTTGCAACCAGAATTCTTGCTTTCTCAGAGAACACAGTAAAAAAGCGCTGCTCTCTCATCTACTGCCAAATGGGTTCTGCCCTTTTCAAGCTCTACAACCCTTCACTCTTCTGCTGTTGACTTGAAAGTGTGCATCAAATCTTCAGGTGGCATTTAGGGAACAATAGAGATTTTGAGGGATTTATCTTCCTCAATAGGGTAGAAAAGATGTAATGACCTGCAGTCTGTGTTTGGATGGGTTTGTAGTGACAGTCTGTATGCAAAATGTTCTTGTTGCTTGCTGTGCTGGGGTGTTTTAAAGCAGTAACTTCTGCCAATGTAAAAGCTGTGTTTTCAGACTCAGAATCATTTAGAATGGAAAAAACCTTCAAGGTCATCAGGTCCAGCCATCAGCCTGACCTGCAGAATCCCATCACTAAACCACGTCTTTGTTTCACAAGAGTCTTGATGCCTTTAAAATATGGCTAGTTGAAGCTACTTTCTTTAAAGAATTCTGTGAAGTCAGGAAGCAAATTTCACCTTTAATGACAGTTTTGTTGAAGCCTGGGAGTATTCCCTCAACTTAACAGAGCAAATTTTTGCTTTAATGAAGGACTTTGAAAATGCTGGCCAACAGATCGCAGAGGAAGAGGGCATTCCTGTGAAGCCTGGAACTTTTTGTTCAAGTGTGAGGGAAGTAATCTTGCACCTCACATTCATCTGGATCTAAGTCGTTGCCTTTCTTTTCTGAAAAGCTGTTCCCTCCACGTATTCCAGGGGATCCTCCTGTGGTTACTTCATTGCAGTTAAGTGTAATGTGTTCAAGAGGATCGATTTAAATGCATTTCAGATGTTTTTGTCCCAAACAGTGATCTTAAGAGCATCTAACAAAGCAATCCCTTTCTTTGGATGTGGAGTTTTCAGAGGGAGTTAGTGCTTGCTTGAGCTTCAGTCCATTCCTGTTCTTGATGAAAAAGTTGAATGCTACCAGTGCTGCTGTATGGATTAGAAAGGGGGGATGTTTTAGTTTTAGCCTTCCAGTTCTATGCTTATTCGTTAAGCGAATGTCATCTCCACGTCTCCCTTTGTCGATCAGTCTTTGGAGGTGTAACAGTTGCAGCATTAGTTCTACTGGATTTCAGAACAACTTCTTTCCCTCTGTGCATGTGTTGGGGTGGTGTTCTGCTGCAGTATGCTCTCACTGGGTGTTCCTATTCCTTGAGTTGGGCGGTTGTTGCCTAGTAATCGGGATGGCAAAGTTCAGATCTGTGTTCTTGTGCGAAGGAGAAGGAGTGGGTTGGTTTTTCTAGGTGTCAAAGCTCATTTTTGCTTTGGTACCAAAAAGAATGGCTCAGATATTGAAAGTGTTGCTGAAATTCTGAAGGTCTTGCTTAGTTTGGTTATTGATTCTGACAGTTTGTTGAAATTTGAGTATTGTGTGCTTGAGGGAAGGGGGAAAAAAAAACTCCTATAAGAATTAATAGCTTGAGAATTAGGAGAAAAAGTGAACTGTAATTAGGATTAAAGTATACACTTAGGTTTAAATTCTGAAGCAACTGTAGTAATCACTCTGCTTGTATTCTAGAAGTACGGAGCTTCTTCGGGTGGTGGGAGGTGGATGGTTTTAGTTGGGTTATGGTTATTTAGTATTTGAGAGCTCTCCGGTGGGTTGGTGTCCAGGGTAATGCTCACCATGCTTGTAATTGCTCAGAAGGAGCACATCCTGGTGACAGCAGCCAGATGGACAGATTTAGATGCTTAAAATAGATATATCTTTGTCTCACCCGGGCCTAGCAAATAATGTTGTCGGAAGCTGTTGACAAGGCATTCTGGTTTTGTACCACTTGCTTTTAATTACTCTGCATGCTTTTAGCATTGAAACAGGAGACCACCTTTGAGACTGATCTTAATGTTTTAAAGCACAGATCTAAGTATGTTTTCTGTTTCTGAGACTTATGTTTGAAAGCAATTTTTTAAAGAGGAAAAAGGCCAGCATTTGATGTTAATGAAGCCGATCTTCATAATGTGAAAATGTCTTAAGATGCTCAGCTGTAGGTGCAGAGCTGCATGCTGCCAGCTCACTGCACACTAAGTTACTCTGATCCACAGAGTAGCTGCAGGCATACCAAAATGTTTGTTTCTATGTTGAGGTCTCTCCTATTGAAAACCTCTGAAATAATTCTATCAGTTGCTGTTCCTACCAATATCCTTATCTTTTTGTCTTCTGTCTCAGCTGTTTTTATATTAATCAGGTTACTCATTGGGAAATGTAATCTTAATGCTTGGGAAGCAACAGCAATTTTGGTAATCTAATTAGGACAGTATTAAGTTTTGCAGTATTACTGTATTACACCTTTCCAACAGGGAAAGATACTTCTCTGCTGAAAACCACTGTAATTAAAAGCTTGTAAAGAGAGCTGAAAATTTTTTTTGTTGTTTCAGGTTGATGATTTACAATAAATGTTTCTCATATTGGAACATATTTCTGCTTGGAGATATTTCCTTTCTTACATTTAATGACATGCCAGCTGTATGTCTGCTCCCATAAGTCCTACTCCAGCTTAAAACCAATGGTATTGAGAATGATGCTGGGTGCTGTAGGCTCGCTCAGGTTTTGAGATTGTCCAGGCTATTATTGATTTCAGCTGCAAATTAATGAAAAGAAACATTAACAGGTAATTATGTAAAAATTTGGATACAGAAGATGTCTTGGCAAGAATTGAGGAAGATGAGTCATTAGGTCATTACTATAATAGCTGGGAATGAAAGATGGGAAAGAGGAGAGCTGAAGGAGGAGTAGTGTTACAGAGCTGCTGAGGGCAGGAGGGAGCTTTAGGGCTTGCCTTACCCTGTGCCTTGCTGAAAGCAGGTCAGCCAGAACAGCGTGCCCAGGGCTGTGCCCTGTTGGGTTTTAAGCCTTCACAAACTGAAAGCAAGCTGTTCTGGTAATTGATTGTCCTTAGAATGAAATGGTTGTTTTTTATGTTTCAGTAAAATTGTGTGTATTTCAATACAGGCTACTTAGAACGTATGTAAGTGTTTTTGCTTGAAAGTATATTTAGTTTTAGTGTTTGACTGTGTTGTGGAGGTGATTTCTTACATGCTCAGGCATCCTAAGGTAGGATGGAGGAAAATTTTGTCTCTTTTCTCCAAGGAGCTGTTCAGCTTTGGCCACTCTTGGAAATCATGTCTGCCTAAATAAGCTACAGATCTAATCCAGAGATCCTGTGGAAGCTATTGAGGTCTTTCTGGGAACATGAAAATTGGCCTGACCAAATCCATAGAGTTCTGTCATGGTCTCTGAATTGTGGGTGAATAGGAGAGGAGAGTCAGCTAGAGCACTTACAGAGAAGTCTTCCTATCCCGTTAAGTTACTCTTTTTAATGCCTTCTCTTATTGAGATCATGTGGATGATATGTGAATACCGTGTGTTACTGTAATTGCAAGCTGAGAACATGCAAAAATGTGGGGCAACGTCTGGGTGCAAAACTGGATTAGGAAATCCAAAGAAGTACAGAATCAAGGGGCTATATATTGGATCACATCAGTGTATTTCAGTGGTGTTTGTCATTTTGAAAGCATCAAACTTGCAGTGTAGCTAATGCCTAATTTCAGTGGCGTCAAACCAAGCACGGCAGCATCAAAGCCACAGGGGTAATACTGGTAACAAATGGTTCAGTGATGTCTCATTGACAATTAATTTCTGAATATCAGTTTCCTGTCTTAGTAGTCCATGTAATTTAGCACAGATTTTAGTAGTTCATAAGATTTAGTAGTTCACATGTTTCTATAGTTGTTGTACTTCAAATGCATATTGTACTGCTCAGTAGCTATGTAAACTAGCTAATGTGTTGTTAAAATGAAGTGCTCTGTAGCAATGTTTCACTGTTTTGTAATGAATTTTCTCTTCAAGTAATGGAACTTGAATTGCTAATGGAACCGTTTTTTCCCCTCCCCACAGTGCTGACTTAAAACTTTTGGAAGAAGCAACCATCTCAGTCTGCAAATCTTTAGGTGAGAAACTGGCGTCTTGTTTCCATCTGGCTGAGCAAAAACGTTAGGAACATACATGTACACATTCACATCTTTTGTATATGTAACTGTATGTGTTCTACTGGCAAGATTAGAATAGTGTCAAGTGTGTTTATGTATTCCAAGCCTTTAGAAAGCTAGCTTTCCTTTTGTAAAACATGAAATGATTGAAAGGTTTAAAACAAATAACTCTGTCCTTGCTACCTCTTTTTCCTCCTGCCCTCAAAGATAATCTGTGAGGGAGAATTAATCAGGGGTGAAAGGAAGGAATAATACGAATGTGGTCAGTGATATTACAAAGAGGTTGCAAGCAGTGGAAACCTGCTCAGCTTCCTGGTAGAAAGCTCTATGCAAGCCTTGCAAAGGGAGCCATAGAAGCTTCACACTGGAATATTTTTAATTCAGAACAAAAATTATTTTAGAGAACAATCATGGAGTAGTAAAGCATGTTGTGGAAAATCTTAAAAACAGAGTAATCACTGTTTAGGAAAACAAGTATCATGCTTTCTACAGAAATATTTAAGGCACTGACGTCTGTTTTCATTCTACATACAGTCTGAACTAAATTGTCCCAACTTACAAGTGCTATTTAATTGTGTCTTTGCAATTCCTCATCTAGTGGAGAAGAATCCTCGAACAGGAAACCTTGGGTCATTGATTAAAGTCTTTCTTTCTAGAACCAAAGAATTAAAAATATCAGCAGAATGTCAAAAGTAAGTACTGGCAAAAAAGGTGGGTGCACCTTTTCACACTTCAACTTTCAATTTTTTGGTGGCTTTGGAGTTATGCTCTACCAGTTAACATAGTTACTGAACAAAGTTAAACTTCCCTTAAGTCATTGTTTGAAATTAGGAAAGTGTCTAACGCTTTATCAAGCAGAGAGTATGAAGCATAACTGATGAATGTATTATCTGAACAAAAGAGTATTTGTCTTCCCTGCTAAGTAAGCACATTTGTAGGTGAAAATGATGTGACTTCAGGTTAATTTCTGCCTTCCCAATTATGCACTCCTGGGGGCTTGCTGTCCTAATTTTCTCTGGCTGGACCCCATATGGGCAGTAAGCATGCTGTGTTTCCAGGCTGGAAGTTGAGAACCCCAAGCTCTTTGAGGTGGTTTTATGTGGGGGGCCGACTATTGCGTGGTAGGAAACTTAATGATAGGTGTAAGGGTTCAGATAAGAGAATGTTTATTTTTCAAAGGAGACATTTAATCTTAAGTTATTGATTTTGAGATATTTGAAAGTCATCTGACTTTTTAGCTAAATCCTGATTTATGAAGGCCCTCAGAAATTATTTTCAGATTTGATTGGTTTGAGCAGAAACATCTATATATGGATACTGCTTTCAGGCTGTGTTATGCAACTGTTGTTCAGCAGCAGGAAAGAACAAGAGGTTATGAATGTAGCATCATACAGCTCTTCCAGGAAGCTTTCTGCAGTTGTTCCCCAGTAACCTTTGATAAATACTTGACTCCCATCAGAGAGAGAAATAAGATGTTCTTTTTAATGCCTCGTTGCTGCCAGAGCTGCTCTGCTTATATCTGGAGAGCAATGCTACTCCTTCCTGGATGGCTTCTGCTTATTTAATCCATCAATGCATCAACACAGCTTGATGTTGTGCTGTTGTATGGGCTTCCTAGTGCTCGCTTGTTGTTACTCAAGGAAATGTAATGAAGCCGTAGCCTCCCTGCATTCAGAAAGAATCTCAGTTAATGCTTTAGAGCACTTCAGCTTTTCCTTGCTTCAGCCATAGGAACTCTTCTGTTAATGTCATGTATCTTATAGAATCATAGAATCATAGAATCACCAAGGTTGGAAAAGACCTAAAAGATCACCCAGTCCAACCGTTATCTTGTGATCTTTGCTTTCATTGCTTTTGATGCACTTTTCCAAATTGTGTTACTGATTCCTGTTTCTGCTTCCTTTCCAGTCACCTCTTTATTTGGCAGGCTCACAATGCATTATTTATTATCTGCTGCTTGCTGAAAGTGTTCATCAGTCGGATGTCAGAAGAGGAACTGCAACTTCATTTTACTTACGAGGATAAGACACCTGGCTCATATGGTAGGTATCTGCTGCTGAAATTGGGCAGTACTGATGTTAGATGTGTGTCGTACCCCCCAGGACACCCTGTGAGATTGAAAGTATGTAGGCAGTAGTAAAACTGGCTTTCCTCTTTCAAGTCTGAAATAATTAGGTGTAAATTATCATCCTTTTTATCTAGCATATGAAGGAGGATGGCTTTAAAGTGTGCTGAGAGCTTTTAGAGACTTGTTTACTGTTGTCTTTTGCTAAAATTAAACGTCTGTTTACAAACTGTTAGTACACTACAGGTTCTCATGGCAAACTAGCCCTCTTGAGCTGTGTTCATGTTGTTAGGACACACAGGATGGCCTCTAACCCAGTGGGAGGAACAAACAAGAATGGAGTGTAGCTTTTCTACCACTACTGTGAGACTGACACTGGAGGAGTTGTTTAGGAGACTGGATTCCTTGTATTTGCGGAGATTGGAGGATGTTACTTTTCTTACCTCAACTGTTCACCACTTTCAGTGACATCAGGGCATTAATGCCATTTTTTTCTCCCTTCCTGGGGCTTAGAAGTTGCCTTCCCTTTGTGGTTCTGTAAGTTGATTGCCTCTTGTGACCCTGCACACGCACTTTACTCCTCTGTTCTCTCATCTGCAGGAAGTTCTATGGAGGAAAGAGATGTAGATTGTATTACTTGGTTCTCTTTCTTCTGATGATAGAGGAAGAGGAGAAGTATTCCTTATAGAACACCACTGGAACATAAGATCCATTGTTGTTCTTATGCCTTGGAAGTAGTGTAGCCATACTTCAGGAGAAGGGTATTATAGAAATAAATGTACTCTTTGGTTTACCTTCTCATATTCCATAAGTCAGTAACAACTAGGAAATGGAATTACTATGATTTTTAGAAATATTGACAGTTGCAATGATTTTTTGATCCCTCAAAAGGCAGAAGATAACATTGAGCTGGTGGACAAAACTTCTACCAAAGTACTGGCAAAGTGTATTTAAATAGAATGTCTTAAAGGGAAAAAGTCCTCCCCAGGAAAAAAAAAAGAAAAAAGAAAAAGTGTTAAACAAGAACGATGGCAGCAAAGGAATGGCTTTGTTGTAAAAGCACTCCTGCTGTCATCTGTTTGAAAAGCAAACTGAAGTGGCTAACCAGGAAAGTCTTCTGAGCATGAATGTGTTCAGTATTCGGTTGACAGCAAAAAGAAAACCCACGTGTTGTCTGCTACAAAGCTGTGTGTAGCACTGTGTCAAGACACTTTTGCAGAATACATGGTGGATAATGCTGGCAAGACAACGTTGATCTCTTTAGCTTTGTTTTAAGACTGATGACTTTGTAGTTGTGTATGTGTTGCATAAAGCCAAAAACAGTTTGGCCAAAAAGGATTGGCATCAGAATGCTGATACTGTGCAAGTGAATTGTGAAAGGGTAACCAAAAATTTCTGAATGCAGACTTCCCTCATCTGTCAGTCCAGCAAGGAAGGACACCACTCAGAATGCCTGACAGCTGCTTGCTCACCAAATAGTGAAAACTGCTCTTGAAAATCTGTTTTAACTCCTTGGCGCCTGCCATTGCTCTGGGGAAATCAACTTCTGATGCCAAGGGATTAAGTACTGCATGTTGAAATGGTTTAATGTATTTAAACTGAGGTGAGTAATCTCCAAGAATGAGGTCAGCTAACTGGTGCAGCAGCAAGTGGTGCCTGCTCTTTGCACTGTGTCATGGCAGATTGTTTGAGGGTTGAGAGCTGTTTACTGAAAAAAAAAAAAAAAGAAGCCTGCCTACCTCTTGTTTCAGAGTAGCACAGGAAAACAGATGGAAATGCTGACAACTTTTGTTAGGGCATCAGCAATCTTTATTCCTCGTGCTGGGAGTTCCTTGTGGTGCAGTGTTTGAAAAGAAAAAAACAAAAACAAAGTGATTTGCCACTGGGATAGATCCATGTTTATCCTATCTTTAGTAGCACTCGACTGTAATTCTCAGTGATGTTTACTTGTGGTAATTTTATGCGCTTTGATGGCAAATGTGCTTAGCAGTTATCTTGGAGCTGAATGCTAGCTGGATGTTCTTGATTAGGAAGAGGTTTGTGTGTGGTCTGCTGGCTAAGGCAGGAGACTGAAGGCAGGAAACCAGTTCTCTGTCCCTGCTCAGCTGTGGGCTGAGGCCAGTGCTGCTCCTGACCTGTGTTTCCAGTTAGAATACCTTCTTCAAGGTACTGGGTTTTATAACGTGCTGTGTTCACGTAGCCAGCATTTCTTCTTCCTAACAAGTCCTTCAGATAATGTTTTCAAGTGTGCACTGTGTGGTCTTTATACTTACCAATGTGAAAAGTGAAGTATAATTTGTAGAGTGTAATGGAATGCTTTCGTGTTAGGGTTCATTAAAGTAAACAGAAAAAACGTTTCTTTTATTTTCATAATGAAGTCTGGCTTTCTACAGCATGTATTTAATTCTTTAGAATACAGTTTGTTCTGAAGCTTATACAGATTTATTTATACAGATTTATTAATACTTTCTGTTTGCATCCATCAGTGTTTCTTGTGGGAAAGCATAGCCATTCAGCTTAAAACTCTGGAGTTGTTTCGTTTCCCTGTTTAAACTATCAGCATCGCATTCTTTTTCCTTTTAGCTTGTGAATCCATCCCAGTATCATGTGAGAATAAGCAGAGAACCTGTTAGCTCAGAGGGCCTGGCCACATTGTCAGCTCACTCAGTTTGCTCACTGTGCAGTCACAACATCAGCACCTGCTGTGTGTTTGGTATTTCGGGCAGAACTTTATATGACAGTAATGGTCTGTGGAAATATCCTTGCCATGGGCTTTTGAGAAATGCCTTCTCTTCTGACATAATTGCTGTTGTTTAGATGATGCTTTACCTGGCTTACCTGGAAGAATCGCCTCCCAGTTTTTACAGTTTTCTGTAAAAACTTTCTTTTACAGTTTGCTTTCAATCTTTCTAAATGTTCAGTTTATGCTTTTTCCTGCTGTATTTAAGTTCGGAAGAAAGCTCTGTAATGTTATTTCACATCAGAAGATGTGATTACTGGAGTTCTTCTCTTTGCAGAAAGGTTAAGTACAAAGGTACGTTGCAGCCTACCTTCATGGTGTTCTAATGAACAAGTGGCACGGGGCTGAGCCTCTGCTGCAGGAGGGTTTACTCAGACTCTTAATAGAAGTTCTCACCCACTGGCAGTTTTCAGGTGGTTCCTTATGCCTGGAGGAAGTACGCCCTTTGTCTTCACCCATAATTGAGAAGTTGGATGCAGCTCTGGAGATGATTGCACAACTTCAGTTGTAGGAAAATCCTCATTGACACTTAAACCAGGTCCTTTAAGTTTCATCTAAAAATTACTGGTATCAGTCAGTGCTAAATTAGGCTTGGCACATGCTGAAGCTGGAGTAAGTCTTCAGATTGTTTAGCTTTTGGTAAGGCTTCTGTTGTGTATGTGCCTTAATTTCTTTGGGTTTTTCAACTGTACTGTGATTGAGAAGTATGGGAGAGATTGGCATGTGCTACGTATTGTATTCTAAAGCAAACTGTAGATTCATTTAGCCTATTCCTTGACCTGTAATAAACTTTATTTGTTTTCACTGTAGAAGTTTTTAGCATAGAGTTGCCAAAGACTATATTTGGTACGTTATAACAAATGTAGAGGAATCCCATAGTGCCTGTTGCCTTGGAAAGAAAGCAGCTGAAAATGTACAGTTTGTTTGAGATCATACCTGGGCTTTGACATGCAGTGGTCTTGTTTTTTCCTGGCAGACAACTGTGGGCAGAGGGGCATGGAGGACATGGGAGGGGAAATAAACAACCATGCATTCACCAGAGCCCCTCTAGACTTGCAGGTTATTGCGTACAGGAAAAGAAGGGTAGCACTAGTTCATGCATTCATCATTAGCACTGCTAAGGGACAGCTGGGAACCCTTGGGAGTTGAAGATCTAACCACAATACCCAAAGAAGCTTCGAGTCTGTGGGTTGTACAATTAACTGCATGTATGAGGCTTTAAGTACCGTTGCATGAGTAATTTGATTTATTGCTTTAGTGGTGTCCAGGTTCTATCCAATCTATAGGAGCAATAGGACAGCAAAACAGGTGGCATCTAAGGTGGAGTTGTACCTTGCTGTGTCAGTATGTTACTAACGTTGGGCACATCCTGCTGCTGTAGCTCAGATTGGGTTGTGGCAACGTAGCATGTTGGTATTTGAGAAGCAGTGCTGTTTTATTACCTATATGAGATCCCATATCGTGGCTCTAACCTTGTCTAGAAGGATTCGCCGTGTACTTAAGTTCCCAAGGCTTTCCATGGATCCAAGTGTGTGATCTGTGAACATGATTAAGCGTTGTGTGTATTGTCTTTATCCTGCTGTTGAAAAAGATACTGTTTATGAAAACACGGAGTGTTCCATGTTTATGGCTTGCTCTCACGTTATAGATTTGGCATGCGTCTGTGTCATTGTTTGGAAAGACAAGAATTAAGCGAGAATGCCCGTGCCCCAATGGGGGAAAGGATACATTAATTATTCTGGTGGAATGACATTGACTACAGCCACTAAGGTTTTTAGGAAAAAAACTTTGAGAGCAGAGCAGGAAAGGAAAGGCAAGCATCTTCCATCCTGCATAATTGTCCCAATCCTGTGTTTCTTGCATTAGTTTGAATATAAAGTGTGAGGAAAAGCCCTCTTTAGTACTCAAATAACATTGCTCACTCTTCAAATAAGTTGTGTAATAAACAATATTCTCAAAATGCACCGTTGTTACTTTTTCTGTCCTTTTTCTTCTTGCTTTCCTCAACCATTAACAGAAAAAAAAAAAACCCAAACACAATAGGACCCTTTTGATGTGGAGCAGTCTTGCTTTATCAGCATTTTATAGATTCAAAAAGCTTTTCAAAAGTGACACCTTCAGGTGCCTTTAGCACACATTATTTGGGCTTCGTTGTGGCAGTGGTTTCTGTCTGATGTTAAATGTTCATAGCAGTTCTTGTTTTCAGCTAACAGGAGCTATGCTGTGTTGCTCTTGGATTCTATATGAAGGAAACCACATTTCTGTTATAAAAAAAACTCACCTCACTTTGAATGTGCAGTTCACTAGGTGACAACTGTTAATATGTTTTTAATAAACTGATTGTGGAAAGAAATACATCTGCTTTATTGTGAATGTTCCCTTTGATATGTTTGTTGAAATGGAGTTTTTGGAATTACAGATTTTTTAGTTTGAGTTAAGCAGAATAACACTGTCATAACCTGCAGTGCTGTGTTTATTGCGTGACCTACTTATTTGAAAGCACAAAGTGAACAAGAATTGTGTGTTCATTGTGCTGCAATGCTGCAGTGCCTTTCTGGCAGCGCAGAGGAAAAAGCTTTGCTTGCTCTTAGGCAGTCAGCACTGTTAAATCCCTTTGCTTCGAAAGATTGCTTTTTAAAATATTGCTCAGTGCATGTTAGACAAATGTAACTTCTTTCTGTCTTTGCTTATTCTTCACTTGCTATTAAAAAAAAATGGGGAAACGAGCAGTGTAGAGGATTTTGAGAGGAGACTTGAACTGTGGGCTCATTGAAGTCCTTAATTATCAGTCAGTCAGATTGTCTGCGAAAGCACGATTAAATATGAGCTTAGGTAAGCAGTGAGAACTTCCAATTGTTAGTAGCTATTTGTTTTGCACATAAAAATCCTAGCATCACTGGTGATAATCCAGCCCTGCAGAGAAGGACCTGGGGGTCTTGATGGATGAAAAGCTGAGCCAGCAGTGTGCATTGCAGCTCGGAAAGCAAATGGCATCCTGGGCTCCATCAGCAGAGGGGTGGCCAGCAGGGACAGGGAGGTGATTGTCCCCCTCTGCTCTGCTCCTGTGAGGCCCCATCTGCAGTGCTGTGTCCAGGTCTGGAGCCCCCAGTACAAGAAAGACAGGGAGTTGATGGAGAGGGTCCAGAGGAGCCACAGAGATGATCAGGGGACTGGAGCACCTCCCCTGTGAGGACAGGATGAGGGAGCTGGGCTTGTTCAGCATGGAGAAAAGAAGGCTGCGGGGTGACCTCATGGCAGCTTTCAGTACCTAAAGGGAGCCTGCAAACAGGAGGGGAGTCAACTCTTGGAAAGGGGAGATAACTGCAGGACAAGGGGAAATGGTTTGAAGTTGAGGGAGGGAAGATTGGGGGGAAGTTCTGTGCTATGAGAGTGGTGAGGTGCTGGAACAGCTGCCCAGAGAGGCTGTGATGCCCCGTCCATCCCTGGAGGTGTTCAAGGCCAGGTTGGATGGGGCCCTGGGCAGCCTGGGCTGCTGTGAAATGTGGAGGTTGGTGGCCCTGCGTGTGGCAGGGGGTTGGAGCTTTGTGATCCTTGAGCTCCCTTCCAACCCTGGCCATTCTGTGATACTGTGAATCCCAAATGCTTTTTATTTCATGTAAAAACGCTGTAGTTCTAAATCTAACATTTCTTCCAGTGTTTGTCCCTGAATTAGAAGTGTTCATCATCTGAACCTATGTTTAAATCTGTTTAAATCTAGGTTTTTTTTTTTGTTTTGTTTTTTGTTATCTGAAAATCCAGAAAACCTTTGCTATGATTCATTTTCAGGAACAGAATGTGAAGACCTCATAGAAGAGCTGCTGTGCTGCCTCATCCAGCTCATTGTTGAAATTCCCCTCTTGTAAGTTGGCTCTGTTATCTTCAACCTCCCTCAATAAGCTGAACGTTTGAGAGAATATAAACATGCAATGATGAGATCTTAGCATTGAATGCTTAGATTTGAATGCTGCGTGTGGTGATGAAGTACTGATAATGATAACCCACAGCCATGAGTTTGGAAGAAAGATGTGGTCAGCATTGTGCACCCAGCTCAATCCATCTGGAGAAGTTGTTCTGTTTGCTTCATTTGAGATATGATGATCCCACATTCCATGGCTGTATGTGCCCCAAAACATAACTAATTTTCTTTTTACAATTGGTAGTTTTAAATGAGGGTAAACTTTCTTTGTTCTTTAGGAATAAAAATGTTCTTCCACCTCTGCCTAGATTAACTTTGACTTTTTTCCAGTATGAACTTCAGCAGAGGTCATGTCAGCAATTGCTTTTGTGTTTAAATTGCATTGTTGTCTGTGCCTAAAGCGTGTCTCTTCAATTAAAGCATCGCAGCTTTGAAAGAGTTCCTGAGTGTTTAGTATGGTGTGGTATGTAACTCTGATTTATTTTATACTTTGTATTTCTTCTTGGTTGGGAAGCAGACCAAGATGCAACAGTTGAAACATTGCTCTCCTTAAGTACAATCACCTCAGCATTGTGTGAGGTTTGGGTAGTATTGTGTAACAAATTAGCAGTGTAATTTAGTGCCCTTCTGCAAAGTTGGTGACTATTTCCTGGAGCAGATCCACTTTTTGAGTGGAGCAGGTTAGAGGAGGTACAGAGGAGTGAAAGGATTGAGATAAGTGGGAAATTGTTGCATCTGGCAGGATTTTTTGAATTGAAGTCCCATTATTTGTATGGAATCCTGTATCACGTTCTGGTTTTTTGGCAGGAAGAGTTTTAAAGGCATACATGTTCTTAACCCTTTTCAACAGATGAACCTGTCAGCTTCTGTATTTCTGTGTGAATGTGGATGCTGGGAACAGAAGTGTCTGTAGAAGGCACTCAGCCCTTGTCAATACTCCATACGCTGATGATTTAATTGAAGAAGTCACAAAGCCTGTTCAAAATGTTCAGTGATCAGATGTGTTAGAAACATTATTTACCTTCTGGAAGAGGTGGATGTGGAAATGCCTATTTTGTTTTTTGACAGATAAGCTTTCTTGCCTATATTTTTCTACAAATGGCATGCTGCTGAACTGCCAGCTTGAACAGCAGTAAGAAGGATACTAAATTGATTAGTATTTACAAAAACATCAATCGTTCCCATGTTTAGCAGTGTAAAAATGTGTAATTATGTACTACTGCTTTAACTCACTTTTTTTTTTTTTTTTGCATGTCATGGAAGGGGAGGTAGTGTAAGGAAAAGCAGGTAGAGGAAAATGTTGCTTTCTGAAATACATAATCACACAGTGGTCCTTGGAAGAGTTTTCCTGCAGCCTGTTGGCCTTTGTGGTATCTGCATTGCAGGGCAAAAGACTTGGGACCACAGCTTGTTGCAGGGAGAGTGAAAAGAACTCTGTTCTTCATAAAGTTGTTATAAAACTGAGACATTTGGACATTTGTTTAAGGTCATTTTTTTGTTGTTGTAGTTGATCGAGGTGATTTCAGTGGCATGATTACTTTTTAATTTCCTTTCTCCCTGATCAGATTTATACTATCATTTTTTTCCTACTTTGTATCAGGGAAGTAGTTATGTTCTTCCTGTAGCTGGAATAAATCAAGGAGATTTCAGGCTTATCAGGTAATTTTGGGGGTGGAATAGGTGGAGCGGACTACATGAAATCTTCAGATGTAATGATTTGTGAAGTGGGACTTGGGTCCTTTGCTGGAGCATAGGCAGCTTGCAGTGGCACAGACTGTTAAAGTCTGCATGCTGAACCTGTGTTTGCAATGTAATTCATAACAGCAGATTTTTTTAGAAACGTTCAATGGGCTTAGCAGAAGATTATCACAATTACCGTGTCATTTGGTTCTGTAGATACCCTTTCATGATGGAGTACTGCAAGCATCTGCTGTCTGAATGCATATCTTCTCCAGATCCTGCTTTTAATGTTTGGTTTGTTTTTTTTTTCTCCTTCAATAAAACACTAGGATCAATTTTAGTGTGTTTGACACTGTCCCCATATCCAAAACACAGGAGCAGAGGCACGTGTACATCAGTCCTGGAAGCTTCGCTTTTGAAATTGTTCTATATTATCATATCAAGTGCCTTTTGGTGGGAGAAGTCAGTGCACTTAGAGCAACAGAATCATTGAGGCTGGAGCAGACCTCTGAGATCCCCAGCCACAGCCCACCCCACCATGCACACTGGCCATGTCCCCCAGTGCCACATCTCCACAGTTGAGGAACACCTTCAGGGATGGGGACTCCCCCACCTCCCTGTGCAGCCTGTGTCACTGCATCATCACACTGACAATAAATTGTTTCTCATATCCAGCCTGTATATAACTGAAGGAAATATTTGGAAAATTACTGAAGGAAAAAAAAAAACTGCTGATTTTTGCTGGGCAACGCTCCAGAGCTGCATAGCAAAGCATATCGACACTGTTAACAAGGAATGGAAGAAACTGTTTTTCAATGTTGGCTTTATTTAGAGAGGTAAATATCTTTCCTGGCAGCTGCACTCAGTGCAGCTAATGCAAATTGTATCAGAGACCGTGGGGCTTTGCATCATTGTGGCCCAATATCTGAGAATTATTGAGAGGATCTTGAATAACCCTCATGAAAAATAGGCTCTGCTGCATTGTACAGAATGCCAGCAGGGAAGGTTTTGTGTATCAACATTTAAATGTAAGAAATTTTATAGAAATGACAGTTATTGCATTTCATGAATTAGACTTGTGCAGTCTCTTCTTACACTCGTGTTACAGTACGTTGATGGCTGGTTTTTGGCTCACTTGGGTGTCTTATGGGTACTCTGTTTTTTCCTTGGTCTTGCTAACATTAGCACCCAGGGGTGTACATTAGTGACCAAAATTGCATAGTCAGCAAAAGGTAGAACTTCAAGGTTTAACCTTACAAGTTTTATGTAGAAACTGTTGTGAGATGGAGCTCCCAAAGCTTAAAATTATAAAGGCTGCTTTCAGCAGCTTGTTAAGGGCTGGTCTGTGTAACGGAACATCTGGTTGTTATCAGTACATTTTCACTTCATTAAGAGCTATAAATGCGTGTGGAAGGAAAATGAAATACTGTGATCTGGTTACATCACTGCTAAGTAGCACCCTGTGGTGCCAGTGGAAGGGAGTTGTTATTTCTATTACATTCCATTATTTTTTTTATGGTTAAAATTGTTTTAGGCTGCAATCTTAATTACTTCCACACTTAAACGTTAACAGTGTGTGACTTGTATGAGGATGTTTTTGTGTTTTCTGGGAGCTTAAGAATCAATTTTAGGAGGAAGAATGGAGGTAGAATTGATTGTGACGTGGAATGCAAACAGCCAGTGCCATTTACAGATAGTGAGAATTGCTGGGGCTTTTTTTGCTTGCTGATTGTAAGCAGCAGAGGGGTTAAGCACTATGTGATTGTATGTCATATTTCAATATTTTATTTGTTTTCAAACCAGTAACAGGTTTGGTTCAATGTGTGCTGTCCTCTGTGACATGTAGCACCGTCTGCTGCAAGGCTCTGCTCATCAGCAAGGCTGAGTAGAAATGCCCTGAATCAGTGGATGTCTAGTAAATTTTGGAAGTATTTTGAAGAATTTTCATCATCTTTAGATCATTTTTTCTCACTGCAAATCTGTGACCTTTTACATGTTTGAAGATCCTATGTGGAAGAATCTCAGTGTCACATTCTTTGTTCTAATATTATCCTAATTTAGTTTCTACATTAGATCAGTGTTCCTTCTTATGACCTTCCCTTCTCTAGGCCTGCTTTAGTGCCCATTGATGTGTGCCAGCCTCACTGATCACAGATCAGACCGGTGCTGTTTGTTACACACCATGCAGTATAATCGAGTTCCAGGTCATGTTCTTTCTCTGTGGTTTCCAGCCATGTTCTAACAAAAGCTATTGGATGTAGCATCTTGAAAGACACCCACTTGCTAGTATTTTGGTTTGGTCTTTAGGCCGGGTACCAAAGGCACCAAGGCTCTGGAGTCAGTACGTGTCTTTTTGGTGCCTTGGTGGTTTCACATCACTGACTGCTACGTGATTGAAGCCTTTTTCCTCTGTGATCTGGCCATTCATTAGACCAGAAGAGATTATTGTTGCCACCAAGTGTCCCTTCATTAAGATGGCTCTGCCTTGATACAAATGTCTGACGTTTTGTACAATTGTTAATCATGTGATCATTAAGGCTGGAAAATAAGTTTGAGTCCAACCATCAGATCATCTGCTCCAGCCACTTACTCCAGCTAAGGGAGCAAGACTAAGGAGAAGCCATGTCACAAGGCCCTTTCTCCTTGATGGAGCAGGTCAGCCTTTCCTGCAGGCTATGCACTGGAACGTGATACGGTTTGTTGTCTGACAGTCATCTCTGCAGCTGCCTTTTCCCTTGGAGTTGGAGTTGTCAGCTACTTAGGAGAAGTCATTTGAGCCGTACGTTTTTACAAGTATTTAAATTGTTATCTTGTGTTCTGTTGCTCAAAGGTGAGGTCTTTCTCTGAGATTTAGAACATAGAGTCATTAAGGTTGGAAAAATTAATCAAGTCCAACTGCCAACCAATCCACACCATACCCAGTACTTACTTACAAGTCCTGCTGATACGAAAAAATAAACACAGAGGCATATGGCTGTATGTATAACATTTAAAACTCCCAGATTTACAATATTGCGTTTGTAGAGGAAAGAACAGAATGCCAGTGGGGTGAAGATGCACGTGGTTGCATGGTCTCAGATGGTTTAGATATAGATTTTGAAGTAAAATGTCTTGGATGCCACTATTGTTTGTCCATTATATCCCTTTAGAGTATGTCCACCTTCTTAGCTTGTTCTCTCAACCACTAGACTGTCTCCTGCTGGTGGAGGGAGATGTAGTAGGACATGTCACAGGTGCTCTTTGCTTTCTCAACAATTATTTAACTATGATGAACATTGTTAGCTGCTGCAGTGCATGTTTGCCATCATGAGTGTAAAGTTAGGAGTGAATCCGGGAGGAAAGATTAGGTCTACTTGCAGTTGTTGTACACGTATCCTCAGGCTGATAACCAGATCCTTGAGCGGCTTCTCAGCTCCCAGCCCCTCTTCTATTCTCTTGGTGACTCCTCTTTCACTTTTCTGGTGGGCTGTCAGGAAGCAGGGAAATGAAACCTGGTTCCTGTATAATTGGAGAGATTTTGTATGAATCAGCCTTGCTGGCAACAGTCCTGAACTAGAGAACAAGTTCCCTCTTAACTTTTTAATGCTTGTTGTAGGCAGCTCTGGCTGGGGACAAGTTCAGGGAAATATTTAAGCAAGGAGAGAGTTTGGTGCCGTGGTGTGAGATGAATTTCAGGAGTTTGTTTGTGAGTGCTCAACCTGTTTGTTCTGTAGGCATGTAATCACTTTTAGCCTCTCAGCCTCTGTTTGCTAAGGTGTAGGAACAGTTGCATTTAATTGAGGTGTTAATTTGTTTCACTGCTAGCAGAGATTTCCCTGAACATTACCTCTATGCTTAATTTGAGTTCTTCTTCCACAGACCTGTCTCCAGGCAGGGAACAGAATGGAATGATGTGAGCACAGCAAGCAGTGGTGAGCACTGCTTGGCATTGGAAAGAAGCTAACAGCAGCAGGGTAGTGAAATGTAGGTAGATTTGTGGATAGGTAGCACTGGGAGGAGGTTGTTTGCATCCCCTTATTAGTTTAAATGGAAGAAAGTAAATGCCAGCACAGTGGGGACTTGTTTGGCTAGGACCATAGCTCTTGTTCTGTCGAAGACAGTTTTATCATACGCAAACAGAACCAGAATCACAGAATCACCAAGGTTGGAAAATACCTGCAAGACCATCCAACCATCAACCGAATTAAATGCCACTCACCTTAACGAATAAGGTACTGGTGGCATCATCCTCTGATCTTGCTTGCTTTTTCTTCATTCTGCAGAAGCAGATAAGTATTTTGGGTGTTGTATTTTTTGATGGGCTTCTGTATTATGGCCTTCATCCTTTGGTCTACTTCAGCACTTTCTTTCCACCATGAAGCCTGTTGGTGTGGCAGGGTAGCTGTCTGCTGCGTGGTAACCATGCACTGTGAGCACTGGGCTCTGGGTGCACGCAGATTATGGCAAGTGTTCAAGTCACTGCTCAGACAGATTACTGTCTGCTTTTGTGTGCTCTTTTTTTGTTTCTGTCATAAACATCATCTTTTATTCTTGTTAACAATTGCTGTTTTGACTGTGGAACACTGTTTTTGCGCATTTGTAACTTGAAAATGCAGTTTCGGTTTTGTGGGGTATTTGAAATAGCTGCCTGTAAGAACTGCAGAAGAACAAGGTGAAATCTCCACACAGAGGAAACCTTGTGAGGGAGTGATGTGTGGCTGAATGGTCTGTTGTGCTTCATAGCTGCCACCATAGCTGATCTCATCTCTCAGATCTCCTCCAAAATGTGAATGAAACAGTGGCTAGAGAGATGGGAGGGAATATGGAGAGTTTGAAAGGAGGAAAAAAAGGCAGGGGAAAATGACAGGCTTTTATCAGAGCTCACAGAAGTGGTTTCTGACAGCCCTCTCTGATCTGGCAGGGTAGAGGAAAAAGAAAATGCCTGAGGTTTCAAGCAGAACGATAAAGCCTGGAGCTAGTACATGTCCCCTGCTACCACGTGTGCTGGTTAAAGCACAGGGAGCAGCATTACTGATCCTGTGTCTCTGTTGCAGAAGCAGGTAGATGGAGGTGCTTGATAATGTAAAAGGAAAAAAAAAAGTTATTTCTGGTGGCTGATCTGTGGCCCAGGAAATAAAGGTGCACGTCCTTGATGGATGATCAGAAGAGAAGTGTTATTCTTTCCAGTTTTCATCCCAGAAGAATCAGTTTCTGCTTTAGAAATATTCATAAGAATCAATTCTTTCCAAGTCTAAATGCAGTGCTTCTTTGAAGCAGTGCTCTTCAGGGGGAGCCCAGCATCTCTGCTGTCTGCTTGGCAGAAGGATTAGATGGAAAGCATAGCTGACCTCTTAGAATCTTTTGCCATTTGATTTATTTAATTGTTGTCTAAACATTGCTACGCTAGAAATTGTGTGCAGTTGCTTAAATTAAATCATTCGTTAAACTTGCAATGATTAGGTGGCAGTGCTTATTGGAAGGAAGAGTGTACTTATGAAAATGTGTATATTAATACTTTGTAGTACACAGTTAGCTAACACCTGTGACATATTGACTCATTTTCTCATAGGTAAGTGGCTTTACTAAACAATGTGCTCAGTAAATACATAAAATTGCTACTCGTCTAAAGCTCTTGTCTTTTTTTTCACTCAAGTCCATAATTTTCTGAAGAATTTATATAGCTGTAATTATCTGAAGCTATACGATGTGTCTTTAGACACACACCTTTAAACTGTAAAACAAAATTGGTCCCCAGAAGTCTGCTTGAGGTTGGACATGACGTGCGAGAACGTGGAGGGATTCGATGTGGTTAAAAGACAGGGAATATGGAGCCAGGAGAGCAGCTGCTTGTAGTGGGGAGATAAAGACTTCGGTGTGGTTTGGTGCACTGCTGCCTGAAGCTCATGTGCTTTAGGTATGAGCTTTGTCTGAGGTGTGTGAGGCATTGGGAAAGAAAAAGAACGGCGGAAATTAAACATGAAGTTCCTCTGCTTTTCTGACATGAAGAGCTAAGTAATTCTGGCGTGTAATTGATACTTGAGTTCATTATTTCTCATTTCCTCCTCATCTGCAAGCAAACAGCTTTAAGAGGAAGTCAAAGATAAGTATAAATTCTATGTAAGGTCGTTCTGTATTCGTGATAGCTTTAATAATGATGAAAAAAAATCGATCCACCCCAAAGTTGTGTAGTCTGTCTATACAATTAAACAGCATTTTCTTTGAAATTGAGATGTTCCCAGTGGTTCTTGTGCCCCTTTGCAAGTGCTTGGGATTCAAAAAACTGTACACTTGACCCTGGGTGGAAAAAATAATTTAGTTCTGAAGCCTTATCATTGTGCTGCTGGTAATTAAGGATGTGTGTGGCTTAGGGGTTACCATGGATATTAGGCCCCCAGTTGAGGTTGAGAGAGAAGATTTAATTTGAAGAGGTTCTATAGGTTGAGTAAAAAGTATCTGCACTCGAACAGGCCTTAATTGAATTCTGGATAGGAAGAGAAGGGCTTGAGCTGTGTGAATTTAGCCTTATTTTGCTTTTTCAGTTATATAAGGAAGATTGTGTAAGCAGATTATGTTCAAAAATTACTTATACATTAACTTCTTTGTTTTTTTTTACCTTAAACTGAATTTTATGAAAATAGAGAACAATTTTGTGATGTCTCAGATTTGTGTTTCCAGTTGTATGGTGGGTCAGAAAAACAAGCAAAGAAATGACTGAGATGCAGAGACAGCCCAGTAGGCTCTGTACAATTTTACCCAGGCACTTTGGGTGTTGCAGCATGTCACAGCTGTCCTTCTCATGCATCGTGTCAGTGTCAACTCAGACTTGGAGACATTCTGGTGTTCTCAGCCTTGAAAATAAGCTTTTGTCTTTTTGTGTAGCAAGGAAGTGTTTCTTCTAAGCTCTTGTATTTATTTTATTAGGAAAAAAAAAAAAAAAAGAAATATTGTCTGGCAAATAAACTTCTAATATTCTGCATACCTATCTCTTCCCCATGTTGCTTGGGATTGATGTGGGTGGTCAACTGCAGAGCACAGGTTGTTGGTGAGGGGCTGTGGGCCATCTCTAGCTCAGCCTTGCTGCTGGCACAGGTGGGTCTGCATGGCACCAGCTCACAGCAACCTCAGCCTGCTCTGATGCTCAGCACTGTCCAACTCCCTGTGCTGTGGGCACAGTCGGGTAACTGAAGCACACTGTGTGATTTCAAGGAAGAGTGTTCGTTAGGCAGCAAGTCTCTCCCTGACATAAGTATTACAGATTCCAACAAAAGCAGCAATTGGCATCACTTTTTCTTTTAAACACTTCTTTGTGTTGGAAGTGGTGTGGCTCTGGAGTGTGCAGGACTTTGGTCCAGGAAGTAGCCATTCCCGTTTGCTGTTGATATTGAGCAGGTAACACTCACCTTCCTCATCCCTTTCTTCAAACTCTGACCCACAGCTGACACAGAAGGGTTGAAAGCAAGAGTAGGGCTCCTTCATACCAATATTTCATTTTGTTTTAAAGCTATGCTATGTAACAAAGTTGTTATGGACAGAGTTGAAAACAGAAACCAAAGAATCTCCAAAATAACTTTACTTTCTCATTCATTTTGCTGCACCTTGCCTAAATAACCTCGACTTAATGAGTTTTGCTAAAACGTCTGCAGTCACCATTGAAACATACTGTATTCTTTGGGATTGGCAGTAATAACTTTAAATGTCATACTTTGTCACCTCACAATTACTACTGAAAGTGGAGCAGCTCTCTGTGGCATTGTGATATCCCGAGCACTTCTTACAGTTAAGGTAGCATTTATTTGTATGTGACAACTCTTCCGTAGCGATCCATTCTTCCTGGCATATGGAGTTGTGTTTGGCTTGTTGGCTGTTTCCCAGGCTTTGAACGTTGCTTTTGTGACAGTTTTGTTTAACAAGACAAAATGCGTGTCTTTGAGATGTATTTATTATTTTTGAGGTGAAGTATAGTCTGAAAATCGAAGGTGGAATGTTGTAGGCAATACTGTAGTGTTTTTACATTGTCCTGTGACATAGCACGAAATGCTTGTGGCAGTGACAAATAATGTATTGTCTGTGTGCAATGATACTGTTTTCTACTAAGAGGGGTTTTTCTAAGTTGTTGTTTGGTTGCTCTCAATTGAAACTTTCTGTAAAGTGAATAACCTCAGATGAAGCTACTAAATGTTCTTATGAGTCAGTTTGTAAACAAAGCCATTAAATTAATCCTTATGCATTTTCCCTTTTTCCTGCAGAGATATCACCTATGGCATTTCCTTGGAGGCTGTGACAACGCTCATTGTCTTCCTTTCCTGCCAGCTCTTCCACAAGGAAATTCTGCGGGAGAGCCTCATTCACAAATACCTGATGCGTGGGAGATGGTATGTCATGTTTTGGAGCTAGATAAAATGGCAACTCCATGAAATGGAGCTTGTTTAAACCGTCTGTGCTTCTACGCAAAGGCAGTGAAACAGGCTTGGTAGTTATTTGTTCTCCCTGTAAGCAGCGTCTATGCTTTTCGATCAGAAACAGTCTGCCATTTCTCCTCTTTCACCTTTAAATTGCATACAGGCAGCTGTTTGGTAAAGGTAATTACTATCTGTTTCTGCAGTTCCTGCTAGAAGCGGGGGGTAGTGCCTCCTGTGAGATATGTGAGGAAAGGAAAGAGGATGAGGGGAATATCTGGGAGTAGGGCAGAATGTTCTGGTTTAAGCTGGGAGTAGCAGGTAGCTGGCCAGTGGAGATGAGTGGAGGGTGTAGTGGCTGGGCATAATGAAGGGTCTGAGGGCACTGGGTAAAGGGGCTGGAGATGACCATAGTGCAGTCTGTATACCTCTGCATCACGTGGGAGGAAGAATTGAAGAACTGTTTCTTTCCTTGGAAATCCTCTTCTTTGTTTCTTAGAAAAGCTGCTACGTCCTGTTTACATCCAACAAATTGCATGTGCATTTGTCAGAATCACTGTGTAAGGTCGGATGTTGCATTGGTCCTTGCACATTGACCCCAGCCATACACAGCCATATACCACGAGTTGGAGGAATACTTTTCTTACCTGCTCTATTTCTCCAAAGCATAGAGAAAAAACTAAACAGTATAGTCTTTCTCTCCCTAGCATAAATATTTTTCTACTTGTTTCTTGGTGTGAAATAATACAGCAGTTGCACAGACCGATTTATAGGCAGTATTCAGAACAAAACATGTTTGTGACTGCTGTTGAAGGTGCTTCTGCAGAGCCCTGCAGAGGCGAGTGCAGCTCTGCAAGGGCAAACGTTTGTGTGCTCTCCCTTTTAGTTTGTACAGTGGCACAGTGCTCAGGACTGCTTTGCAGGCCACCTGGTCTTTGCTGTGCAGATAACAAGTACCTGCTATTCTGCAGATGTAAGAAGTGATTAAAAAGATTCTGAAAAGATCTGAGATCTAAGCTAAGCCTAGTTCCAGCAAACAAAAATATGTGGTATTGACTCTAGCTGAGCTAAATCTTGCTCCTTGTAAGTCAGCCTTTGTTGATTTTTTTTTGTCTTTGCAGCCTCCCATATACCAGCAGACTCGTGAAAACTTTGCTCTACAACTTCATTAGACAAGAAAGAAGCCCTCCTCCAGGGACACATGTCTTTCAGCAGCAAACAGATGGAGGAGGACTGCTGTATGGGATTGCATCTGGGGTGGCAAGTGAGTCTTCTGCATGCAGTTCATCAAACCTTAGGAAGTGCTGTCCTATGGGTGACCCCTTCTACTAAAGCACCCATAACCTGTTTCTTTTCTGACAAGTTTCAGTGTTACTTAGTATACTTAGGGAACTTAATGACACTTTTTTAGTCAAGAAAATGGCTGTTCATGTTTGTTACACTTTGTGCTGTTGTTTTGGTCTTCTTCATGCCACATGTGTGTTTTTTTGCTGTGTATATTACATGCAAAAGATCTTCCTAAAGGATTTTCTTTATCATACAATAAGAATAAAACTATATGTGCTGCTAACAGTAATAATATATATTACAGCAGTGCACATTACTTTTCTTTAATTTGATAAATGTAAATAACACTTTACAATTCGGTTGCTGTTAGAACACATGCTATTTATTTTGATCTTTTGTGAAATCAGTCACTGGAAGCATCTCTAGGGAATACTGTGCTGCATTCGTGCTGCATATGCTCTGCCAGAAAACATTTCAGTCTGTGGCAGTGCTCATGGATCTCCTCTTGGAGGCAGTAAGAGAGCACATCTTTGCAGTGCAGTGTATCCTGTGTACCACCACGTCTGTGTCAAGTGAGGTTACACACAGCCCCATGCCTTCACTGGAACACTGTCTTCTTTCTGATTGGCATAAGCCTAACATTGCACTGTCTGCCCCAACCATATCGACTGGAAATCAGGGGCAGCTTGGTTTGCTGTTTATTTAAGCAGTGAAGAGAAATTAAATTGTTCCCTATGACATGTTTTTTATTGTGAAAGTCCCAGCAGGTATGTTCTTTCTTTTCAATTGCTGGAGAAAACTGCTTTTAAAATGCTTTCTGAACTAGTTCTCTGTATGTGGCTTGTACTTCAGCTTGTGGCTGGAGAGCAGTTTTCTCTGTGTTTCTCTACTTGTTCTGATCTCACGGCCACTGTCGTCATGCTCCAGTATCCTTCTGCCTTAATGCTGCTACAGGCAAAAGAGCTTTCTTTTCTTTTCACTTGCTGAGCTTATAAAGTCCATCCAGATTGTCTCCACTCTTACCTTCCTCCATAGCTCCCCTGATATCATATCCCCACAAGTTCTACTTCTTGTGTATAAGATTTGCGTTTCTCAATTATAAATTAGTCTGCATGTCTCAGTGCAAAATCCTGAGGTCTCTGCCTACACCTGTTCTTGTCTCTTCCCACACTTCCACCCCCTTCCCTTTTCTTGAACCATTCCCTTAACAGCTCCCTTGGCACACTCCTACACTTACGTTGTTCCTTTTGTGAGCAACTGAAGTGCCATCTTATCCTCTGGTGAATCAAGTGTCTTCATACAAAGCTTTAGGCGAAACAGCTTTTATAAAGAGCCTTCTAATGACCTTTCCAAGAAAAAAGTGCTGCATCCAGTTAGAAAGTTGGGATATTTTTTCTGTCTGTGTGCACACAGTTAATGTTTTTGTCTGTTTGTTTGTTGCATATGGTGCTGGACAGTATGTGGAATTTGGATGCAGTAGGACTGATAAAGTAAATGGCACATTTGTCCATTGGAAGCATCTCTGAGTTAAGCCCTCTGTAATCTTTTGGTTTATTTAGCATTAAGTATGTGTGTGGAGTGCAGTACAGATTTGAAAACAGCAACACAAACACTGGTTGGTTATGAATCTGGAGTAAGTTCTGAGCAGTGTGCAGCTGTGAAAAACTTCAGAAGTCTGTATGGTTTATTTTTTTGTATATTTTTGTAATCTTTTATGATTTTACTGGATAAATGTTGAAAGGAATGGAAGAATTGAAGATCGGCTTTTTTCTAATGCTTAAAATGCATAGTGCTCAAAAAAACTTGGGATGGGATGGAAAGAGATAGGAGCCTGGTTTTTAGGAACCTTCATTTTTCATGTGTAACTTGGAGGCTTAAGATAATTACTGTGCTTGTTAATTTGGAATTATGTGACTTGACACCACGGTCATCTGCCTCCTTGTATTACGTTCTGCGTATTTTGTAGCCACTTGCACTGCAGCAGATGAGCACTCTTGTTTAAGCACTGTATTTACAGCCTCCCCTTCCTTTCTTGTGATCAGCAGAGTGATCGCTATACAGAACACGAGCAGAAGTTTACCCTTTCCCACAGTTAACCTTCTCCTGCTTCTCATCTACTGTAGACTGCTTCTTTTTCTGTCACGAGCCTCCTTAACCCCGAAACCACACAGACAAGGTGCTCACACCAGTTACTTCCCTTTGTTTGACTCTACTGCATGTAAGCTATCAGTATGCTGCAAGAACATTTCTTCATCTTGTACGTAAAAGACCTTGATTAGAATTACATTACCAATAATGTCAGCTTCCAGTAGATAAGCAAACAGTTATGTTTTTGGATTGAGAGGGAAAGCGAAATCTTTTGTTAGTAAAGGACATTCTTCTATGTAGTGGTTTTGGCTTTGAGTCAACGTTGTTTTGTATCTTCCATTAGGTAGTCTTTTAGCAGGTGTGCAAAGCAGTTGTGCTGCTGGGTCTGGTGTGCTGTTCGTGTGCTGTGAACGCATAAATCGCATCAATATGCACAGCAGTATAGAATAGAACTTATTATGAATCAAAAAGTAATTTTCTTGGTGTGAACTTCTTGGTTCAGAAGGTACATTTGTGTGAGCTTCAAAAATTGTATTCCCAGTTTAAAATTCTCTCCTCAGTTTATTAAGTTGAGAGAACTGCTTGTGGGCAAGCGAATTTTTTATCTTGTAAGATAAAACTTGTGTTACAGTGCCAAACAAATACTGTGGTAAAACAAAAATATGAGTACTGCTTAAGACTACTAAAAATCAGCCAAATTAAATGGTTTCGTTTGAAACACTTCACTATCTGAAAAAACAACCACACTGCAGCACATCGTGAAGTACTTAGGAGCTACTGCAATGGTAGATTCTAGCTGACTTACCGTGTGCTGTTCAGATGATTACAATTGTAATGGGTACAATGCTGTACCTGGAAGAAGTGAATGAAAGGCTATTCATCTTGACCTGGTTGATCTTCACAACCCATCTGGCCCACAAATGTACTGCAGGAGAATTAATATGAATTGCATAGTTCAGTGTGTAGTCATCAGCAGCTACTTTTCTTCTCCTGTCTGAACTCTTCTGTTGGAACTAGACAAACATTCCTGAACACTAATGACTTTCGTAGAAGTGTGTTCTTCAGTCTGCATGATGTCATTCAGCATTGGTATACTTGAAGAAGGAATCTGGTGATCTATTTAGTACATCTTTGACTTGCACAGACTCAGGTTTATTCATCATTTTTCTTTGTGCCAACAATTTCATTTATAGGAACACTTCATAGTCACTGGGGAACACTATTTGTCACCACTCTCACCTAGACATAGAGCTGCTGACCACAACCGTCTGGCTGCAACCATCCAACCAATTCTTTATCCTCTGAATAGTCCACCCTTCAAACTCATCTCTCTCCAATTTAGAGATGATAGTACAATGTGGGACCATGTAAAAGGCCTTGCAGAAGTCCAGGTAGATGCCATCTGTTGATCTTCCTGTAACTACTGAGTCTTGTCATTTCACAGAGGACCACCAGATGGGTCAGACATGATCTGCCCCTGGTGAACCCATGCTCGCTGTCTTGGATCACCTGCTCATCCCTCATGTGCCTTAATATCTCTCCCAGGAGGATCAGCTCCATGATCTTCCCAGGCACTGACAGGTCAGCCTGTAGTTCCCTCTGTCTTCTTTTCTCCCTTTCTTATAAATGGGAGTTACCTTTTTTCCAGCCATTGAGAGCTTTACCTGACAGCCATGACTTTTTAAATGCTGATGGAGAACATCCTGGCCACCACATCAGCCAGTTCCTTCAGGACCTTGGGACACGTGTATCTTGCATGGTTATCCTTAACATCAAAAGGAAGCTATTCTTATCTAGTGTTCAATATTAAAATTGAAGAGGAGAGTCAAATTTTGATTATATACATTAAAAATGTCAAAGTATAAAGACAGAAAAAGTGCTTTCACAATGTGTGTTAATTTCATAACACTTCCCCAAATTTCTTTTCTACTTACAGGTATTTCAAGTGGGATTATTAGATATTCAGTACCTTTTTGATGTGTCACAAACCTAGTGTATGTTCTTCTGCATATTATTTTCTATTATTTTTAAAACTATTATTTTCTATTATTTTTCTAACTATTATTTTCCCCATCTCCCTGGTTCTTAGTCAGTGTTTAATTGCCTGTTCATGCTTAGGATAAATGAAAATGTAAATCTAAGGCGTTTCTCTGACTTCTATCTGTTAGACTTTCTTCTTGCTTACACTCTGTAGTGGCATCGTCCTCTTGTCGCTGTGATCACGGCACTGTGACTCTGCCTCGATGTAAATATCTAGATAGGGTCCAGATTTTTAACTTTTTCTTGGTTTCTCTAAAGATGTGTCTGAACTGTAGCAAAATGTGTGGCCACAGCTCAAGTTGGAGAGTAGCAGTAATATAACTATGGGTGGGTCAGTCTGCAAGAGCTGCCCACGAAGCTGGACTCCAGCAGAGCAGCATCCTGACCATCGTCTTTGCTGGGTTGAACTACTGTCAGACCAAGGCTTGAATCTCTCCTTTGAGTTTTCCTTTGCTTTTTTTCGTATACTTCTTTTTTCTTTTCATTTTAGTTCACTTCCCAGTGTCCTACCACAAAAACACAAGTCCAGCTACTGACCCCTAACGGGACACTGCTCACAGAGATGGACATCTCTGATCTCCATATGAACATTGAGCCATTTACGCCACTACCTGGATTGGATCCTGCCGCCAGTTCTTTGTCTGTCAAACAGTCACACACCAAATCCTTATCTTTCCAATTTGGAGAGGAGGATGTTGTGTGGTACTGTGTGGAAGGCCCTACTGAAGTCCAGAGAGATAGCAGCAGTGGCTCTTCCTTTGTCTGCTCTTGCAGTTACACCATCACAAAGGGCCACTGAGTTGATCAGGCAGGACTGGCTCTTGGTGAAGCCATGCTGGTTGTCTCATA